TGTAGTTGGTTCGAGGGTCGGGCTTTCCAGCATCAAGCCCATCAACGGCAAGGGCCGGTTTAGGGTTTAGGGTTTAGGGTTTAGCGTTTAGGGTGTAGGGTGTAGGGTTTAGGGGTTTAGGGTTTTAGGGTTTAGGGCTTCGGGTTTAGGGGTTTAGGGGTTTCGGGTTTAGGGTTTAGGGATCATCCACCGGAATCACAAACGACTCACGAAACCAAGGGGCAGTGTCGCAGCGTTCCTCGCCAGGTTCTTGCCCAGCATGTACCTTCAAACTTTGGATCGTGTAAACGAGCTTGACGGTTTGAATATAGCCAGAAACCCTAAACCCTAAACCCTAAACCCTAAACCCTAAACCCTAAACCCCAAACCCCAAACCCCCTTAATCCGAAACCTGGAGTTAATGGCATTTTAAGGATTTGAAATGTGCTTTCGGACTATGGTGTGTTGTTTTGGCATTAAAGATTTTGCTGCTTGGGTTTCAAAGTAAAAGATTTGGTATTGGTGTGTCTGCGTCCTGGGTCGGGAATGAGGCGCTTCACTGACTGACAACCACACAAACAGTGCACAGTTCGGGCTACAAGCCCTAAACCCTAAACCTGTCTGCCTTCAGAGACTCTACATCTCAAAAGAAGCAGGCGTCTGGTTGCACTCAGGATGTCAACAGCCAACTGGCTGCTGCATTGAGCACATCACCAGATGAAGCCGTGCACAGGAGCTGTAGAACCAAATAAGCTCAACTATCGTTTAGGGTTTACCTGGACCCTAAAGGACCTACCTTTTTTTGGGGTTCCTTATTATGGCTTCTTTATGTAAGTCCTTAAAAAGGTAGGCTATTTGGTGTTAAGGTAAAGTTTAATGTCACAGGGATGCTAGCGCTGTAAAGGATGAAACCCGAGCCCAAATTGGGTGTGGGGTCTTGAATCAGAGGCCCGGGTTCTGGGATACGTGTATAAGCAGGATCTTACATACTATAGGGGCCTTAATAGTTAGAATAGAGGGTTCTGGGGTATATTATACTACGATTATACTAAGGAACCCCCAAAATAGTATAGGAAATTTTTTAGGCCCCTATATTACATGACAATTAGGTGCCTCAGTAGCCATGTGAGGTGCCAATATCTGGGAGAATAGAAACCCTAAACCCTAAACCATAAACCATAAACTCCTAAACCCTAAACCCCTAAACTCCTAAACCCTAAACCCCTAAACCCCTACACCCCTAAACTCCTAAACCCGTAAACTCCTAAACCCTAAACCCCTAAACCCCTAAACCCCTAAACTCCTAAACCCGTAAACTCCTAAACCCTAAACCCTAAACACTAAACCCTAAACTCCTAAACCCCTATAAACCCTAAACCCCTAAACCCCTAAACCCGAAAGGGGATTCAGACCTTTTCGGGTCTTCGGTAGTTGAAGCAGCCGCCTCTCAAGGCTTAGGGGTTTAGGGGCTTTGGGGGTTTTGGGGTTTAGGGTTTAGGGCTGAGGGTTTCGGGTCTAAAGGCACCTTAAAACCTAAAACTGCAACTAACATCACGGGCTCCACACACGTGGGAAGCCATATGCCCGCGACTCCTTTCCCAAAGTGTTAATTAAGTGCCACTGAAGAAATACCTAAACTTGAACACTAAACGAAAAAGCCAAAAATGCCACAAGAGCCTCAAGAAGCCCCAAAGAAGCCCCCAAACCGAATTCCCCCTCGTTTTGGGAAGCCGAGGCGCTCCGAGTACGCTTGCATCTGCGAGTTGTGCGCCCTTGCTTGGGTTTTTTAGGTCCAGGGGTTCAGGGTTTAGGGGTTTAAGGTTTAGGGTTTAGGGTTTAGGGTTTGGTGGAGAGCTTAGCGCTTTCAGCATGACGGTGTAGAGTGGACGAGACTTCGGCTTAGAGCTTAGGGGGTTGAGGTGTCGGGCTTTTCGTTACTCTTTTGACGCCTTAAGGTCTCTCTCTCTAGCTTCTCTATATGGTATAGCTATGTCGGCGTGTGTGTCTGAGTGTATGTATGTATGTATG